GAACAAATCTCATATCTTCAAGCTCCAAGCACAACTCCAAGTGGTTTACTTCTTATTCTCCTTCACAAGCACCCAAAAATCACACTTTAAGGATCAAACTCTCAAGATCTCACTTAGGGTTCGATTTTCAAGACAAATGGAATGGAGGCTATCTAAACATAACCTAGTGAGGTTATCACAAGGTTTAAATAGGGTGCAACACCCTAAAATTAGGGTTTCATTAATCCATGTGTACGTCGTGCGTACTCCACGTATGCCCAGTATACGTGGTCCAAGGTCGCGATCCAAATCTGGGCTAGTACGCTAAGCGTACCACCCTGTACGCCCCGCGTACCAGCTCAAGGACCAAAATGCAAAATTTTTAATAAGGATGGATTACATATGAAACTTACAAATTTTCCAAGTGTTACATCTTATTTCTAATTAAGATGTTTTATTCTTAATTTTTATGGTTTCTAGCAACAAAAATTATAGGTGATGCTTAAGAAGCTAAAGTTGATTATTATGTCTTGCAAGAAAATTTGAATATGAGTTCATTTTGGTAGAATCCTTCGATCTCGATCCGATCTTACAATCGCGATCTTGCAAAACGTAAAACGATCTTAGGTAAGATCTCGATTTTGACAGCCTTACTACCATTATGAAAAATACTTTCTCAAAATATTAAGTAATAACTAATGGATGCTATATCTATTATCAGTAGGCACATAGGCCATAAGTCGTTATACTTAGTTTCCTTCTTCCCAATTTATATTTCTTTCTTTCCCTCTCTATCTATCTTTCTCTTTTATATCCCTCTGTTTCCTTCTTCCCAATTTCTATTTCTTTCTTTCCCTCTCATGATCTATCTTTCTCTTTTCTTTCTTTTTCCCAACATGTTTTTAATATTTAGGGATAAGCATCTCGTAGGTTTAATGTAAGTAGAAATAATCTTTTATTTGGGAAGAGTAGTTTAGTAATATTATATGGTATTTTGATTTCTAAATAAGTTTTTTAATATTGAATTAATTTAATTATAACTAAAATATAATCTTGGACATAGATGTAAAATTTATAGTTTTAGATATGTTGTTTTAAAATTTATAAGGATATTGACGTAATATTAAAGGTTTATAAGGATATAAATGAAGTTTTTGACATTAAATTATTGTGAAAAAAATACCTCCATATATTACTTTTTATAAATTTATTAAACAGCTTTGAAGGGTAAAATAATCCATACTTTAATTAATCAGTAGAAATATCAAAGTAACCCTTAAAAAAGTCAGCATCTTTTCTAAAACGAGTGAACCGTCTTAATGAAAGTGATTGTAACATCTTCAGTTTGGAGATAGATGTTTAATACATCAAGTGTGGAGTTGCCATTAAAAAGGATAGGTTTAGAAATGAATTGATGGACCATGTATTAAGAATAAGGATACTCACAAAAATGACAGCATGATTATGGAGAATAAAAAAATTAACTAATTTTATTGAATTAACTGAATTAAATATCAGGTCCAAAACATTGCATTTTAGATACACCAATTTTGTTTCAATAAAAAAAATTAACTAATTTTATTGAATTAACTGAACAGGTCCAAAACATTGCATTTTAGATACACCAATTTCTTTCAACACGTCATAAGAATCGTGTATTTTAGACTTTAGTTATATGACACATATGGGGAAACATATATTTCAGACTTCAGTTATCTGATACATTAAATATCACATTTTCGAACATTCCATAGTATGCATACATTTTAGACTTTAGTTATTTGACATATTCCAAACTACATATATTCTGAAAAAAATTGCATTTGAAGGTTTTTCATTATACATGGGTTTAAACAATCTCCAAATCACCTTTTTCAAATATCCATATTATACATGGGTTTAAAGAGTCTCCAAATCATGTTTGACAAACATATGTGGAGAAAATCGGTCTGATAAAAACATGTTTGACAGACATATTTGTATGGTGCCGGGAGATTTCAAGTATGTAATTTATTCAATGTTACAATAACTCTAAATGGAGAGTATGAAACACAAGACAGAAGTGAAAATGAGTATATTTATTTGCACGTAATAAATGATTATCAAAATTTGTTGATGGTGATTAGTGAGCCGTTGGAAACCTATGAAGGTATACCGGTGTAACGACCCAATGTTTCCAATCTTGTCACCAAGGTTAGCTCTGTTATGTTTTCCGTTAAATCATCATTTTATCTTGTTTTAGTCAAGTTATGGGGACCAAAAGTGTAAGAAAACAATCATTGATCATGTATATGGGTCATGGGGTTATTTTCTCACACTTTGAGGGTCTAGTTTGTAACTTGTGTTGTATTTAAGGATACCTAACCCTAAAATCCAGGAATTCATTCCATTTGCAACCACCAAGTACTTTTAAAGAGAGTTCATGAGAGAACTTTCATATTTGGAGTTGTGAAGAAGATCCTACCCTTTTTGGTGGAGTTTTGGATTGAATTTCTTAGATTGCTTCCTTTTAATCTAATCTATGAAGTTTCTCGATTCCATAGAAGGTATAAATCGTTTTCTTCGAGTTCTTTGTTCTCCTTCTACGTTACACTCATGAAGGAACTTTGGATGATGCAAAAAATTGTGGTTCAAGAGTGTTGATTGGTCTAATTAGTGTTCTAATCAATTAAATAATCATATTTAATCTTAATTCGTTTTTATTTTCTTATTTGATAACTAGACAGCTTCTAGAATTCAAGCTTAAACTCTAAATTTAAAAATTCATTATTTCAAAATTTAAAAAATCTGTATTTTAAAAAAAATTAACAATCCCACCATTTTCTCCTATTTCCCAAACTAACTCATATTACAATTACCCATTTACCCTTATATTTTATTAATCCAATTTTTAATAAGATTTATTTATCGACTTGCCAAATATATCTTAATTAACTTAATTAAATAAAATGATTGGCTGAGAATTGTTCTCACAATTCTCATTTTATTTTTTTGTCCATCCGCATTATATTTAAAGTAAAAAAGCAACACTCGGTGACATAACGTTTTTTCATAGAAATTTCTCATACATCATAACTTATTAGTACTAATTCTATGTGTTTTGTGGTTTTCCAAGGACTCAAGGCCTTTAACGAAAGGTTGATTAAATGTGGGACTTTTTGTTTGATGTTCGGAAAATAGAAGCTATCCTAACTTGTTTCGTAGTTCGTTGACAACATGTGTAATTGTGTTTGAGTTTTTGGTCGGTGTCAACATCACTTATATCACCATTAGTTTGTATATAATCTCAATTTTTGCCTTCAAGAGCCATGTTTTTCCTATTTTATCATATTAAACTTGATAGTCGTTGCCATTTTAAATTCAAAAGACTCGATAAGATCAATGTCACTCCGAGCAATAGTCACCTCATATTCAACATCACTCAGGTATGGTTGCTTACCTCGATGCACCTTAGAACTTCTTCTTTTTACGATTATTTTGTTTTAATCTTAATCCTTCATAGCGGTACAAATATTCGTTATGATAGGTATTTTTGTATTTTTTTTTAAGCCTCCTTCCATCCGATCTTGATTAATGTGATCTCTTTTTTGTGATTGTTTTCATCTTTCTCATCTCAAAGATAAATCAAAAAAAGCTAAATACCAAATAAAACCCTAAATGCCCACCGGGCTGCAAAATTGCTCAAGCAAGGGTTGATTTTTTTTTTGGACAAAAAACAACACCTATATCCAAAGTACCAAAACAAAATAAAAGGCCTAACCAACAAGTACGTAGAATAATACTTCCCAGTCATAGGCCTTCACATTAGTTGAATACTTCCCTCTAATGATCAAGCACGACTCCATCATGCAATCAATCCACATATCCTTCTCCAATTTGCCATCTTCCAATTTGCCATCTTCCAATATCATCCGTCTAACACACGACATTCCCAAGATCCAAATATTTTTGTAGAATCTTTAGCTCATTTTCCATCCATCCTTAGTCCATACATAAGCAATGGATCACAACCACCATTCCATCCTCCCATTCTGATAAACCGTCGCTGTAAGAGCCAATTTTCTGATTGTGTTGCCAATATTCTTTGACTTTAAACTCCTTTGAAGGTATTCAACGAACGAAAACCTATCAAAGATTATTTCTTTAATTCCCATAAACTCAACAATAGTTTTCCAAGCATCACTTAAGAAACTATAATCGAAATACAAACGACTGAATGAGGATTTGAATCGGCTTTCAAAGAAATGGCATGCCATTTCATCATAGCATTTTAAAATTTTAAATCGGGATGACTTTTTAATTTCCGTAAGACTACCAACCCAAGATGAAACTATAGCTTGGAATGTTCAGTTTGAACCGAACCAAATCAGTCAAACAACTTTACGTCTCATATCTCTTAATCACGCCAAATTAATAACAAAAGGGACTAATTTGCCCTTACGGTTGCACCACATGATTTTTATCTTCTATGTTATAATGAAGTTTCGGAATGTTAGTAGACCAAAGTTAGCGGAATGACCAAAATCCAAAACCTGACATCTTCGACCAAGCATTCACTTCATATCCGGCTTCCATGATTTCTCTTCTCAACAAGATTTTGCACAACGGGATGCCAAACCACCAATAGACTAGACTTTAATCTAATATCCCAAAAATTTCACCCTCAAAGATTCATATTATCTCACCCACTATACCACAATGAGTTCTTTCCTTAGATTGTTTTCCAAATGTGAGAAAATAAAAGGGCAGTATTCCATTTTTCCTAAGCATTTAACGTCTAGATCTCCACATCCTTTAGCTTACAAATGCTAGACAATGCCATTTTAGCTTTTTAAGTTTTTATGTGTGCATATCTCCACAACACCACAAGAGCCCACACAAACGTTTTTTCAATTTCCTTGATGTTAGTAGATTTAGGTATTAAGGACATCGAAGCCCAATACACATGGGTTGATTTGATTTTAGGATTTAGGGTTTCTTGAACATCAACATCAGGTAAAAGAATTGGAAGGAATATTAGTCATTTTACATAGACTCATCAATAGTTCAACCATCAACTTCAAATTTGCCATATTGTAATTTACCCTTATATACGCGATGTGGTGTTCTAATTCTAAACAAGTTCCCACCATGTCTAATACCAAGAACCACTTACATATAGAAACCTGAATTAACAAACTACACATCAAGATTTCTTCTAAAAAAGGCGATTCTTCAAGCTTTTGAGATCTAACTTTAAAGGGTGTACACGTGCAACAAACCCATAAATAACAAGTTCCCCTTGTTCTAGTTAGAGCACCACTTTCAACTTTCAAGAAGACACTTCCTTCACAAATCACATGGTTTGACCTCTTGAGTCTTGTTGACCATGGATACTTCAAATGGACCCAAACCCATCAATCAACACCACCACCTTGCATTGATGTTGCACCAGCTTCCTCATCATCAGAAGAAAAAGACGATGATGACCCATTTGACACCTGAAAAAGACGATATTGACCCATTAGACACCCAATCATGGCCCGGTAGAGCCCAATCCAACGGCTAAAAAATGCAAGACATGATAAAGCTACTCACCAAGTGGCGCCGCCTATGTACCAATGCTGACATGGCTCTTAGGATTAGATAGATTGGTAAAATGATTCCAGAAGTTCTTATGAGTAACAACTGTATAAAAAAAAACGAGGAACCCATGATTACATAACTTTATACAATGACAAAAACAAAATCTGAATAAAATTCGTTACTATTTCATACCAGAAACACCGGTAAAGAGTAATTTGCCCCTCCATTAGCAAATATAGGTAACGTGTTACGCAAAATCAAGACAATCATGAACTGTATACAAAAAAAAATGTTACAAAAAGTGTACAAATTGAAAATGGTTATATGGTTGTATAGGGAGAAAGATTACAATGATAGCAACTGAACGAAAACACAAAATGCTTCTAGCAGTGGAATCTGCGTACTCGTCATATTCCTGATCGAGTAAATTATGATCAGAAGAAACGACTGTAATTATTCGAGTCTCATCGTTCATATCCCTTCTCGCAATTTGCCAATGCCCCCTGAGAAAAAAAAGTTTAAGGACAAATTTGGATTATACCATGAATCGAAATCGGATTTTGCGTAGATTTGACCTCAAAAAGTCAAAATTCACCTTATATTTGCCGGAATGACGCCCAATCGGAATACGGGAGGTGGTGCTGTATACCCTGGCTTGAATTGCTGCGATTAGTCATATCAAAAAGATGATTATTTGATGGAAGTTTGTGTATATATTTGGAAATTAGTGGAATATGAGAAGGATTTGAAAGGATTTAAAGGTGGAAAAAAGATGAAATCTGACCTGGTGGCATATTTCGCAAATGGTATCACCCTTTTCGTTACACCATCGTTGAACACATTTGCGATGAGCATACTACAAAAATTAAAACTGGATATATTCATAATTCTCATATGCTTAAAAGTTAAAATCACTTGTTGCAGAATAAACTAACCTTCAAGCTACCACAACAAGAGCAAGGAGTCTCCATATTCGAATCAAAATCCTCATCCTGACAAATTCTGCATTCCACCATTTTTCTAGGAGTGAAAGGAGTTTCAGGATGATCCATATGAGAAGAACAATCGATCATGGTGTCGATGGCGGGAGATAAAGGGTATGAAGGGTTTCTGCTTTCGATTGCAGCTTCTAAAGTGGACTCGGTGAGTAACCGATCAACCAGAAACACGAAATGATCGCCCATTTTTTTACAATAAGAATCGATTTCAGTATCTTGGTGAGAGAAATCAACTGGGAATTCCACAAATTGAAGAAATTTAAATGCTTTGACTCCTGTAAGTAATTCTGGACATAAACAAAACACGAATCAGCTTTGCTTGTGAAGCTTCTTTAAAATTAACAAAACCCCTTTTAGGATTGGAATCAAAACATTATTCTAATTAACGGGAAAGGGAAAAAAGGTTAGTACCCTTCATATCTAAAAAGGAATAAGTTTTCTTTTTGTCAATCAAAAAACGAAGCAGATGCTATACAAGAACTTCAATTAGACAAAACCCAAAATGGGAAAAAGTGATTAGATGATAGGAACAAGCAAAACAACATCAAAAAAGATTTACCCAGATGATCAGAAAGGTAATATCGCTTTCTATGAAAGAACACAAAGATGAAGGCATATGAAGAGAGGTATAAAAAGAATATAAGACAAACTGGAAAGCGAAAAGAAGAAGAAAGAGAAAGCTTACAAGAAGGAGATCGGATATGTTTAAAGCGAAGAAATTTCTCAATCACTTTCACTTGTAGAAATCTATTTTTGCAACCCTAAATTTGCAGAATCATATCAATTCCTTCGTTCGTTTGTTCGTTCAAATTCGTGTTTTTTTTTTCTCTCGAAATTTCCCTCTTTCTCTTCTTGATAACATGGCTTCAGCCATTTTTATACTAATCCACTAAATTAATTTTCATTTTAAAAAAGAATCATTGTTTCCACATACATACTACGTGATCGAGTGTATAAACTGTATTAGAGGATTTTCTATTTTTTTTTCTAGAACTTTTTCTTTAAATTCAGTTTTTTGTTCGAAGAAATCATCGCAAGACACGTACACTGGATTCCTCATTCTCTTTGCACGCCACGTGTCTTTTTCAATGACTATTTTTCGAGGTGAAATATTCTAAGAGATGAGTAATGTGTATTTTATTTATTAATGTTTTGGTATGTAAATTTATAAAATATACAATTAAATTAATATAAAATCTTGTAATACGTTATCATAATTCATGAATGTTGGATGATATTTTATCATGCATTTTAACTATATATAACATGGAGGTTGTGTGGGTGAGAGGTTTGGCATGCAAATGAGACTTCTTTTGACTATGATTAATTATTATTGGATTATTGTTTTTATTATAAGCTTCTTTAAAATTTAGTTATACGATTCAAGTATTTATAACCGATAAACTAAAACTATGTACACTTTTAATTTATAAAAAAAAGGTCATTAAAAGTGTCTTTATGTGTGATAGCTATTGATTCCATAAAATAAATCTAAAGGAGTGGGTGTAGTTAAAGCTAAAATACAAATTCATAAATCTTTTATTGGTTTGGTTGGTGACCTTCTAATTAATGGTAATTAAACAATGTATGATCACCAATAAACGATATCTCGATATCATCATTTTCAGAAATAAATTTTGAAGAGAGCTTAATATATGCAAGTAGATATGTTATATTTATTTGTATAAATGTAAAAACGATACGAAAATTCCTTTTGGCCAAATTTTTTCTCTCATATATGCTTTCATATGTCGCCCGATTATACAAGCGGCCACTAATTCAATTACACATAAAATAAAGTGGATTGATGCATATTTACAATGGATTTGTCTCTTGTGTTTCCGTAAACAAGGAAATAGCTAAATAATATCTTGGCGCTTCATTTATACAACTTGGAATTTGATATAATGTTTATATGTAAACTACATGTATGAGGTTATAATCTTCTTTATTGTTGCCTTTTTGAGAGAAGAATAGTTAGGTTTCGATTTCAATAAGGACCAATAGCAAATGGATGAAAAGATGCCTCGTGTTTCCTGTCTCCATAAAGAGGCAACGATTTTAGTTTGTATTTCACCTCTATAAATCACATCATTTAATCAAACATATGAAATCGAGTGTCCTGATTGGTTTGTTTTTGCAATAGATATAATTTAAGAGGGTTTGGTCACTTTCACAAAATATAGTTGAACCACCCTACTAGACATTGCATATTTTAGTATATGAACTTATGCGCTATTAATTGTAATTATTTAAAGGAAAATTAAGTAATTTAACCACTTTTTAATGTGAATTTGAAAAAAAAATAACCTTATTTTTGCAAAATTAACCACTTTGTCGAGAATGAGACATTCCGTACCAAGAAAAAACATTTTTTTGACTAACTCCGGAATGACATTCTGGATTCCAAACTAAAATTTTGGCATATGAACAGTACTCCGAAATGTCTAATTCCGGAGTATTATTCATATTCCGGACTAAACTTTTTGATTTAAAAAAAAAAAAAAAAAAAAAAAAAAAAAAAAACTTCGAAGTTTCAAGAACAAATTCGAAATCAGAAAAATAATTCCAGAATTTCAAGAAAAAAATCATTTTTTTTCTTAATTTAACAAAAAGTTAAACAAACATAATAATACGAACTATATACAATATGAATGCGTAAAATTAGATATTTTATTGAAAAACGATGACATTAAATATTACAAAATGTAGAATTCGGAATCCCAAAAACAAAATAAGTTCTTTGAAAAGAAAAACTAAAAAAATATGAACAGTACTTTGGAATTAGATCTTCCGAAGAAAGTGATCATTTTTCAAAAACTAAAAAAATGTGGTTATTTTCTATGAAAAGCTTGTTTATAATGGTTATTTTACTCAATTTCCCTTATATAAAACTTACTTTTTATTTTATTTCTTATAGCTTAATGTTTTGAAACTAGCCATTTGTTGATATGAAAGGTTTTTTACGGATTAATCACAAATAGATAATGATATTTTTCTATTGTCAACATGATAATATCAATTACCAAAACAAGTATCTAATAAAACATAGACAAAACTGTAAAATTGGACCCTGTGGTTTGCAAAAAACTGTGGATAAGGTTCAAAAAGTTTTTAACTTTCATGGAAGGTCCACAATTAGATAATTCTCGTGGTTTTAGTCCCTGGAACACTTTAAAGACCATTTTGCCATTTTAATTTCTTTTTGTATTTTTCTTATTTATTTTAATACTTTATTAATTAAAAAAAAAACAATCTTTCTCCCGAGAAAACCTACAACCACGATACATCTTTCTCTCTCACACACATATACAAGAACACACCCTCAGTTCATTTTTATCTCATCGTCCTTCTTTCTCATTTCTTTTTTATCTAATGTAAACAATATCACACTTGTTCGCCCCCCATTAAAGCTCTTCTCAAGCTCGAAAACGAATCAAAATCCATCATATCAAAGACCCTCACCTTCGAGAAGCATCCGCTTTGCAATCGTCGAATTGATCAAGTTCAGCAAAAATGTGTTCGTAGGCCAAGTTCT